TCAGCAGAAAACATGCAACAAAATACTAGAAAAAATGCTCAAAGACGCTGATATCATGCCTGTCAATGCATTTTCATTAAAGTTTAGAGGGACAAAACTGCTCAATTTTGTCTGAAAAGTAGCTCCTGTATTTTTTAAGTGACAGGCGTTTTGCTACAAGCGGCAGGACACTCAGATGTGAACAAGGCTATTGAAAGTAATAGGTTTTTGCTTGTTGAGCATTTTTGAGCTTCAAGCTGTGAACAGAGCCTTAGGGTTAGGGTTACCTGTGACTGGACAGTGAAAGGAGAAGCAGCTGAATGATGATGAGCTCATTCCTTTGTCACTCTGCTCCCTCTTTCTGTTGCCAAGACTCTTGTTACCAAATGAGTACGGTAGCACAACTGATTGGCTTCTTATACCATCCCTTCCACTTCTAGCCTGAGCTTGACAGTAAAGGAGGTAATTGCAAGATGCCCACACCAATTACAATTCAGGTACTTACACAACATACTTTTAAAAGTATATATATTTATTAAGGCACTAATGGCTTTTTGGTTTTATATCTGCCTTGAGTTCAATTTGTTTTTTTTTGTTTTTATTTAAATATTTATTAATTTTTCATATTATTACAAATTTCACCAAGAAAAAACAAAAACACAGATAAATATCCAAAACATTTCTACATTACTCCCTATAAAAACTGTTTCCTCTCCCCCCCCCACCCCTTTGCATGTTAAACCACTCTTTCTTCTTTAAAGCAAGGTGACATTTTCTATTATCCTAACTTATACTTTCCTATATTTCTATTTCAATTCAGATTTTTCCCATCTCGTATAGTAAATCCTCATCTTGTCTTCCTGCATATGGTAAAGTTTTTCCATCCTACCAATCTGGTTCACTGTATTAACCCATTCCTCCTCCTTCGGCACCTCTGTTTTCTGCCAAAACTTGGGTATCAAACCTTTAGCAGCGTTTAAATAGTACCATATACCTGTTTCTTTATATTTAATTACTGATAACTCGATATTATGTAAGAGGCATATCGTTGGGTCTAACCCTATGTCAATCCCAGTTATTATCTCAATCAGTTTAACTATTGACTTCCAGAAAGCCTGAATTTTCCCTTCCACTTCTAGCCTGAGCTTGATAGTAAAGGAGGTAATTGCAAGATGCCAACACCAATTACAATTCAGGTACTTACACAACATACTTTAAAAGTATATATATTTATTAAGGCACTAATGGATTTTTGATTTTATATCTGCCTTGAGTTCAATTTTAAACAAGAGTCCAGGGAGAAAAGTTCAGGAGCATCTTATGGATTGAGGGTCCTCAAAGATAGTCCCTGAATCTGAACAAATTACCCAGTTGTATGTGTTCCAAAACTGAAAAAATAAGGACACATACTGCGACTCTGCAGATCCTGCTTTCCTTTTTAGAAATATGGCAAATTATCAATTCTCAGAGTGTGCTGAAAATGATTTACTCTGTTATGCAAATAATTGGTTTTAGATGATTTTCCTGTAGGGTGACATATGTTTCACACATTGTCTTCACTTTTTCCAGATACAAGAAGAATACTACAGGCTATTCAAGAATGTGCCGTGTTGTCTTATGTGCCTGAGATAAACAGAAGGAACAATTGTGATTCACAGCAAACAATTCTGACAGCGCAGTAAAGCAACCCCCCATATCATGAAGTAGAGGCACCATACAATTGTATGATAACTGTAACGGTATTTGGATACTCAAGGTTACAACATTTGTCTTTCTGCTGACAGCATAAGACAAATTTTTATAATATTAATGCAGCATCAAAACTATAGTTTATCAAAGTGTCTAAAATATGAGCTGTTTTCCCCCACAGCAACCAATTATTGATCAGTTGGACCTCATAATAGTATGTCTAGAGAACGGTTGGATCTTATTGTTCATACCAACCAGTTGTTTTCTTTCTTCCATGTTTCAAAGCAAAGTTGGAGAATGGCTAGCCTGGTTACTATGAACAACAAGAGCAGTTTCTTCTTTTAGACATCTTATTGCATGTGGTCTATTGACCTTGCATTGACACCTACTAGTAAAATCTGACTTTTTGCCAATGTTTTTAATAGGGAAAAGCTTATGAAGCTGATATTTTGTCTCAGAAGTACTGGTAAACGTACTTGGACCTCAGCTATCAACGTGTGTGAAGGAGGCCCAGTCTTTGCTGATAGAAACCCAACAGATCCTCAGTTTTCTTCTTGTTAGAGGGACTTGATTTGTACAAGGAACAAAGGTTTCACCCAAGAAAGTAAAACTAGACACATACCACTTAGGATGTCTTTGGAATTGACTTAAAGTATTAAAGTATATATCCAGCCAATTTTCTAGTTTTGGATAAAATGGAAAATAGTTAAATCCTCTCTGTTTTACTGACTCATATGGCCATGTTGGGGAGACTTCATATTGCTTATTGCACTAGTGAGAATGTTGTCACCAGGACACTTATTAACAATCCCTGTGGCCATGTTGGGGAGACTTAGCACCACTTATTACACTAGTGAGAAAGTTGTCGCCTGGGTAGCTTTTATTGGGCCCTGTGGCCATGTTGGGGAGACTTCCCATCACTTATTGTACTAGTGAGAACATTGTCACTAGTACAGTTCTTATGGTCCTAGGGCTATACCAAGGAGATTTCCCATCACTTATTGTACTAGTGAGACTGTTGTCACCAATACAGTTTTAATGATCCCTGAGACCATGTTGGGGAGACTTCCCATCACTTATTGTACTAGTCACAATGTTGTCACCAGGACAGGGAATATCCAATAAGGACACAAAAACTCTTAGGGTAAGGCTTATTACAGTTGTCTGTTTCCCTTCCTTTTCTGGTGATAACATTGTCCTCAGGACAGAAATTAGGAGAAAACTTCCTCAACAAGAATAATAAAAACTCTAACCCTTTTAATCTCTGTCCATAAAAATGTTTTTTGCTGGAGATATATCAGATAACTTAATATCAGATACTTTTATCAACAACTATGTAGCACAAGGGCCTAGCAAAACAATCCTATCAATTTATATCTAGGTAAACTGGCCATAGATAAGTGTTTTTTTTTTTTTTTTTTTGTTGAACCAGCTGGTTGATCAAAAAAGCTGTTCCAGTTCCCTCATCCACACATTCAAGGTGAATAGAGGAATCCTCCCGCTGTGTCATTCTGACAGCTGGGAGACTTCCTTGCCCTCAGAATACACAGATCAGCACTAAAACCTGCAGCACTGATCAAGAAGAAAATTAACTAGAAGGGAGGTAGATAGACTTCTGTTCAACTTCAGTACTCATACATGGATCTGTCCAGCCCCTGCTGAACCGGACACATTTCAGTCCATCTATGGGTTGTTTTAGGTGGGTCCTCACACTCTTGCTAACCTTCTCTGAGCTACTAAATCAAGTCTAAGGCCCCTTTCACATCGATGTTCCAATCAAGTCCACCTGTCCGTATTTCAGGTGGACCCGATCAGAACCTCTATTCTTCTCTATGGAGTGGCAGGTGTAAACGGACATGTGTCTGTTTACACCCACCTACATCCAATCCTATCCAATATGCCAAAAAGAAACAAATGGGGATCCATTCCCTTTCTGTCCAGCAGATCGGATCAGGTTTAATTGGACAGGCGGTCCGTTTACATTTGATCGCCCATAGAGGAGAGCGGTCTGTGTCTGTGTTCACTCTGCATGGAACGGACACGAACCTGTCATCCGCCTGCTCAGCGAGGATCAATAGACAGATCCCCTATAGAGCAAGCGGATCACAGTTGCAGTCTGCCTGTATGAAAGGGGCCTTATACTGCCCAGGGATAGATGTAAAATCTGCAGGAATTGTCATCTCTATATTTTAGGAATAAGTAGGTGATATATATATATATATATATATATATATATATATATATATATAGCAAAACAGCCATTAATACCTGTATAAAAATATATTTAAACATTGTTTCTATTCGAACATTTTCAAGTAGGTCACTGCATTTTGAGTCAGCTAATAAATTAAATGTTTGGTGACTGCATGTTCCCATTCAGAGCAAGCATACATGTGTCATATCATAATAACTTCAATTATCAATATGTTTGCCGCATTTACATGTACAGCATTCACATTCTCCCTAGAATAGACCATTAAATTGTGAAACCAACATTTCTGAGTTTTTTTTTTTATATAGATTTTATTTATAAGAAGAATATATTTTAATAGTTATTTTGCAGTCGCTTTGTATTATTTTCTATAGTAGACTAGAATTTACATGTAATTGACAGCTGAAAACCTGAACATTTGCATATCATCCGCAGCTACGATTTCTGAAGATATTTACAACATAATGATGTCACATGCTCTTTTGGAATATCAATGAGCGGGTTTGTTTATGACAGATGTGCATTAAGTATTAGCAGAAGGGAACCTTGAGCAATACAGTGATAATCTATGTTAATTTGATCAAATGCATTATATAACTCACAAAGCTGTTTATATGCTTGAGTAGAGAAAGGACAGGCATTTAATACAAGGCATGGCGTGTAGAGGTATTCTGTAAATTTGCCCAGACAAAGGTTCCCACTTGTATAGACAAGTGATTTTAGAATGACCTTTTGCAGTACCAGCTGTAACAGCATTGGGAAACTCTAAGCATTTAGCTAAATATACACCAAGGGCCAAAAGTTTGTAGATACCTGACCATCATACTTATATGAGAAATCCCTTTCAAAAACTCTGGACATTAATATATTTCCACAAGATTTTGGAATGTGTCTAAAGGAATATGTGTCTATTAAGCTAAAATATCATTTGTGAGGAAAAGTATTGTGTTGGGCGAGAAGACCTGGCTTGATATTGGCATTCCATTCATCCAAAAGCTATTCAACAGTGTTGAGGTCAGACCACAGCAGTTCTCCAACATCAAACTCATCCAACCATATTTGGAACTGACTATGGACATACCGTACAATGACACTGTCATGCTGGGGCCTTCCCCAAACTCTTGCTAAAAGTTTGAAAATGCACAAATATCTCAAATATCTCTGTATGCTGTTGCATTAACAGTACAGGGTTGAGATCAGGGATCTGTGCAGATCACTAAAGTTCCTCCATACCAATCTGTTCAAACCATGTCTTTATGGGGCTGATTTTGTCAATAGGAGCAAGATCATGCTGGAATAGAAAAGGGCCTTCCCCAAAATATAAGGTTGAAAGAGTACATTTGTCTAAAATGTCTTTGTATACTATAGCATGAACCATATCCATCACCAACAATACCTGAACTCAAAAATTTGGAGGGTTGTCCACATACTTTTGGCCATATAGTGTGTATATGAATTGTTTTTTTATGTTCACAGGTTTGTCACAATTGTAGATTTTCTGAAAAATGCATATAGTGATGGATTTGTAACCATTATTTAGAGCTATGTCTTAGAGAACTCTCGCCAAAACACAAAATTACAGGTACACTTTGAACAAAATTGAAAATGAAACCTTGGGATGCATACAGGGAAAACAGGCAATTCGCTGAGTAGTTTCAGTTTTTCATCCTGGCATTGCTCTACAGTATCATCTCACCACTCTCTCTATCCTTTTAATGGTAATCTGGTTATCCTGCAGCACGCTTACTAGTGTTGCTGGGACAAAATCCTTACTCTCTCACACACAGGTCAATGTATAAATGCCAATGTTAAGAAGACTCTCACAACCAGCAAGAAGATTCAACCTGCCTTGTTAGTCTAAGTCTAAGTGTGGTTGGTGATGCAGAACAAACTGCTTTGAACATTTGAGATACAAAAATAAGTCACTTAAATAAAACAGTTATGCACCATTGGGTGGTATATAACTGGATGGTGTTTAACTGTTTTATTTGTGTAATTTAATACGAACACTGCCTGTAAATTAAGTCTATTTCATACTATTCATTTGTAAAAGCAATTCACTGTTTGCACCTTAGTAGATGTATGTAGTTACCCTTGTTTTACCAAATATTGGCTCGTTTAAATTTACCCTTTACAAATTAAAATATTATTAAATAAAACAGATTATTGCATTTTGGCAATTAAACACTGTATTGTAATTATATTTTTACTGTGTATGTATATATTCTGTTGCCTATATTAAGTATTTGGAGCTTTTATGTACCATTTGGATGTACTGTTGGCATTTTATGTTCCAATAAATAGTTTTTTTTTTCCTTTGTATTGTGGTTTTATTTAAAGGGAAAATCCACTGTGATGCAAAGAGTGTGGGAGTGGCATTGTCTAGCAAAAATTTGAGACTCATCTCTTGGCATCAGGTGCACACTGTCAATAGCTAAAACAGAAGGCAAGGGCAATACAAAATTAGTGAAATCACACAAAATTTTTAAAGCCCATCTAAATTCTTAATACTTTCTTTGATAAATAACAAGCTGGCATGTTAAAATGTTTTAAATTTCAATATTTGTATTCAATTTTCAGCAGTTCTAAAAGCAGCAATTCAAGTAGAACAAAATTTCTGAAGTACAAAGATCAGTAAAAATGGTATCCAAAAATATAGGTGCAAACATATTTCAGAAATAATAATAGGTAAGCTTAGCCAACATAGTTATGACACAATAGAACTAATTTTCCACCAGATATGAGTCTCTCAGACATAGAAATTTTAGGTGGAATGAAAGGCACAAGAGGCAGCAACCATCATACTGATGAAAATAAGAGGATTTGCCTCCTAGCAATATTTTAGAGAAACAAGGAAAGACAAAGGAAGAGAAAGTACTGTCTGTATCGGCAGAAAAGGTGAGGAGGTCTACCTCAGGATTCGCTAGTCAATCGATCTATATTTGATCCATGGATCCCACATCTTGTCAAATTTTGCAGTGGTGTTATGAAGGGTGCAGATGAGCTTATCATTAACTGTTATTCAGTTAAGGTTGTGTTTGACATATTCAGGTGATACCACAGGCTGCTTCCAATGTTCGCAGCTAAAGTCATATATAAAACCAACTGCCTAGAGTTATTTGGGACCTCAGGGGGGGAATTTATGGAATAAAGCCAATTTAGGAGATATGTACTCTTTGACCGAATGGGTCCAAAGATTGGGATCCAAAATCTGAGTACTTTGGGTTATTGCCACCAAATGTGGTACATGGTCCCAAGTTGGTCACAATGCCTAAAACAGGTGAGGCCATCATGTGCATTTTCACATTTTTCGTGGGCACTAGGTACCATCATATTAACTGTTTAATGTTTTCAAAGAAATTTAATTTATCTATGTTTTAATCCTAAATGCAGCTGGGAAGCTGGATGCCGTCTATACCCTACTAGATAGTGGTGGAGGTGGTAAGTAGCAGGGGCAGGGCATGGCTTTTAAAACATTCATCCAAACCCTTGCAAATAGAACAATGTGTTGTTAATCTGAAGAGCTGATGGTGAGGCTATTCACCAATAAGGCTGTCAACTGAACCAATATAAAGCAGTTTACAGCAGCAGCAAGGTTGACATCACTGCAGAATGAAGAAAGTTGTCACCTTATCAAAAGAACTGCATATCCTCTGGTTTAATTGGAAGGATCAACAGTTATTTTCAAAATGTTGCAGGGGAAAATCAGAGGGTTGATCTTTTAGGTTCCATACACCTAGGCATACAGGGGCTATACAGCATGCAAAGCCTGCATAATGACTTTACCGTGACCTGCTGCTGTGCACAACGGCCCATTGAGATGAATTAGAAGATGTGGCTGCACACAGTTATGTGCCAGGTGTAGTGTAAAGCACTTGCATGAGAACAGTTGTGTGCTCCTAATGCAGATAGTGTGTGTTTGGAGCATACATCCACGCCAGAGCTGCAAGACCTGGGGCACACCCATATTCAGTCACATCCTCTAATTCAATTTTTAATGGGAAGCAGTATGCAGTAGCAGCAGCAGCATGTCCTGGGAACGTGATACAGGCTTTGCTTGATGTACTGTCATGTGTATATGAAGCCTTGGTATAGGCAGCCTATACCAGGGCTGTGATTGTGTAGGGTCCATTGTTCTACATTAAAGTCCACACACGTGGTTTTGGCCACATTAGCTAGAGGACAAAGCTTTAAAGCCCAGCTCAAGACAAAACCCAGGGGGTTTTTTTTTTTTGTTTTTGCTAGATAGAATAGGGATGGGTTAGAGACGGGAGAGCAGGAGGGAGGAGAACAGTTTTTTTTTTTGTTTGTTTTTTTTAGCACACAAAGCACTTCCTCATTTGCAATTTTTCCATTACGACCCCACCATGTTTTGCTTAGGTTTGTGAAAAGTTATGTTTTCATAACCCACCCTTTACCATGTGCACCAACCACCATTAAGGCACACTTTGCGTGGTGCACTTTTAGCAAACAGAAATGTGTTTCCATCATAAAAGGGCTAATTGGTTACATTTGCCCCCAGAGGCCAAAAGTTTCCAGTCCTAGGTAGAACCTCTATTTTTATTGCCTCCTAAGTTGGGAAGATTCCATTTAATTAGTGTCCTGATCATAGGTGTCAAACTGTAAGTAAAGGGAAGTCTCTCCAATGGGAACGAAGACAACTCTTCACTCTGTCCAAATTTAAAACAATATGAAATACCCTGGATGGAGGTACACTTCAACTTGTCACAAGTGCTGCCTTTTGTGGTACAGCAGAGAGGAACACTTCTAGGCACGTCTTAACAGAAAAGTAAAATGTACAACTTGGTTACCATAGAAATGGAACATCCAGGGACCTTCATGCTTCATGTTTCTGTAACATAGCAGTTATAAAGCCAGATTTCATACACTGAGGGACCTATTTTTTAAAGGTTGAAATGATATATTTAGCCCTTTTTTGTAGCTTACATAGAATTTGACAGTCTTGACCATTTACAAAGCTCTTCAGGGCAATATGTCAATTCAGTTTTGCAATATCTTCAACCATAACAAAATTAATCCAGAAAAATATCTTGATTCACAATTCTGATAATTTGAAAATATTTATATAACATTGATTTTTCAAATCAAAGTTCACCAAGAATTTGTGCTACCTTTAATCTGGTGCAGTCCTTCATCTTCAATGTAGGCAAGTGGGTAATGGAGCTTTTCTTAAAGTGTATGTCTTTTTTGACCCAACTCCCAAATTGCAGACAAGCATATCACCAGACCAGTGTGGATGGGTCATCAAATTACCCAAAGGTTGACCCTTTGTGGTTCTAGAGCACTCCAATAATTGGGATAATTTGGTTCCACCCTTTGAATGTCTAACTGTTACATTAAAAAATCTGGTAAACTCTTTTTTTTTCCCTTTCCTCTAGGTTTATTCTTTACTTTTCACTATCTTGTACTAAACTATGATGATGGATAATGATCTAGAAATGCCAACTTAAATTTAATATTCCTTAATTTAGGCTAAAATAGGGTTGGATTGAGCACACATCTGTTTAGAGGTAATAACTTACTAAGAAAGCAGATGTTTATGCACCAGTTATTAAGAACAAAGGATTTTGTATTTTTGAGATCAGTGACAAAGCTTGTTTTTATGCTATGCCTACTTGTTTCTTTATTGTACCATGACATTTCCCAAATGGATATCTAATGTTTGGCAGCTTTTTTGTGTATATGACAAAACAACAAAACTGATTTTACATTAAAAATGTTTCAAGAAGTTAAAACGCTAACATACATTTATATTTCTATATTTTTGTGGATTAAGCCTCAGATCAGACTCCTTTTTTTGTAAAGCATAGCAAACAAATCTTACATCAAACTCTAAGGTTTTGCTTACTCAATAACAGGGGAAGCAGAGGTTAAACCACTGTGTGTGTGACCAGTGCAGAGTATTTCTTAATCATACATCACAGGGCACTTTATATTCATGCCAACTTGGGTTCTGCTGCCAGTTTTAGGTGAATGCACACCAGCTAAAAGAGACAGGAATTCCCTGCTCAGGCATAACCCCCCCCCCCCCCCAAATCAGCAATGCTGGTGTCCTTAGGTGATGGATGTGCCTACAGAATCCTCTCTGAATATCCCTTTCAGGAGCTTTAGTTTCCTATGTATAGCCGGTTCTGGACACCTCTTATGGGGCAGGGAAAGGCTTCAGTCACGCCAGTTGCCTAAAGTCAGGAGGTTAAGAAAGACTGTACCTGGACCCTGAGCGGGAAAGACCTGTAATGTTGCTGGTTGATGCTAGATCTCCTGCAAATCTCCAGGGTACCATATAT